TGATCAGGTAACCTTAAATTAAATTATTTGTAGGAAGAATAAAGGAAAATCACATCAACATAAAAATAATACTTTTTCAACATCTTATCTTAGCTAAATATTATAACTCAATTATAAAGTTCTGTGTAATGTTATGTTTTTTATTACAATTATCTTTCTAAATAAATATAAATTTTGTTACTTGTGTTTCGTATCCTTTCGATATAAATTATTTACTGGTTAAGCGATATAAATCTATAATCATATTTTTTTTCTTTTAAATCTCAAAACACGATTAACATGATTTTAATTACGGTATTGCCTGCCTATTTTGTACAGCTGGATACATCTGAATATCTGCATTTGAAGAGTTGTCGTGGTAGTGATATTACCATTTACGCCGAAAGTATTTTAATTATTGTAACTTGTGATCCTCCGAACCCACTAATTTTATTGTAACCTGTAGTCTTATTAAATGTTCTGCATTTGTTTTCACGTTTACAAAGAATATAATCAATTAGTTGTCAATTTTTAAAAAAGTTATATAGTTATATTTTTATGTTCAATTTTAAATATGATACAAGATGGATAGCAAGTGTGTAATCAGTATATTTTTAGTAAAAGGTTAAGAGTAGTAACTAAGCATTCTTATAGTTCGATTAAATTTAACCACCATTGGCCAAAATGTAACTTTTGTAAATTAATAGGTATTGTCAAACCGTGATAGTAAATCCGTCATTCGTTAGTAAACCATTTTTTTAAAAAATAGATACGTTAATCCAAATGTATTATATAAACTAAATGTAATGCGTTTATTATTTAATTAATTAGAAATATAGTTGAATGTATGACTCATGTACCTAAACGGTTCAAAAAGCTGTACTTTCAGAAGATTAATTTTATAGCTTGTTTAGACCGTATAACCTATATTGTTAACTTAAGTCTGCCGCTACTTAAATCTTTATTCTGCGCGAAGGACGTTTGTGAGAAAAAAATGTTTAGTTTAATTGTCGGTTGCAAGCTGTAGGAGCTAAGTCGAGGTTAATCAAGACGCCCGCTGAATTTGTAATTAATTTATTTCATGACTTCCGACATTTTACTAGTCCCCGAGGTACGAAAAGAGAAAAAGGAAAAAACTCGCGTACAAGTCCATTGTCGACGTGGCCGCCCTCGTTCGCAAAGATCATAAAATACACAAGAAACCCTGGCGTATTGCTTTATCAATTTTTCCTTTCCACCCCCCCCCCACACTTTTATATTTTTATTACGCTATAAAGGAAACCCCGACGTACAAAAGAACCCAAGGCAAACAATAAAAACCGAATTATAGTTTACTTCACTGCCGCACAAATTGCTGTGAGTTAAGGTGCGCTCGGTGCGAGTCAATTATGTTTGCGTTTAAAATTTGCCCAATCTATATAATTTTCATTCGTAACACAACGTTTGGAATTATATACACGCTGCAATTGTATTCGCTGTGGAACAAAATAGTTTGTTTTAGTGGAAAAAAAAAAAAATTAAAATGACCCCCTTTATACAGTTTGCGTTCCGCAGAGGGGTTGTCGTACACTCGATATAAATTATAATTATATTAACCACCAGGGGATTTCGACCCATTGTGTATGTATAGACACATATTTTGTGTACGTACATGTTATTTTTTCGGGTAGGGTTCTTTTTTATTCCACTCAATCTGGTGACAGCAGGTGGTTTTTGAACAGGTGAGGAGCACCTGCGATCCAAAGTTTGCGTGGACAAACACCACGTGACAGAGGGGCCGCGAGTGTGGAGTCGATAGACCCTACGAAAAAATACCCCAAGTCGTCAAAGGTCGATATAAAAGTCGGATATCATATAAAAATAGATTGTTCAAAATGACCGATTTAAATAATTGATAATACAATTATTTAAAATTGCTTAGTATGTAAATTAAGCAATGCGCAGTGCGGCAGATGGGTTTTAATGTAAAAATAAAAAATAAAAACGTTTAGGATAACCTATTTCAGAAGTTTGCAAGACAAGCAGAAAAATATGAAAGCCCCTTCGGTTCTGGGACTAAAGGTAAGTTATATTATACTTCGTAATGAAAGCTTGAAATAAACGAATTAATTTGAAAGTATACACATTCAAAGTACAAAATTAGAAGAAACAAGTTCATTTTAGAATTTGTATTATTATAGGTACATATAACACAAAATAAGTTGTCAAAAAAATTTAAACATGAAAATTGTATAATAAAAAAAAAGAATATTGTACACATAAATTAATTTTAATATTAGTGATTTTCTTAAAAAAAATGCTTTATTACTTTTTCCCGAACACTTCAGTAATGATTTAATATTAGTAATATTGGTAGTTTTTATCAGCTTAATCGAATTACTAGAAAAAGCAAATACCTTTATTTAACAACTTTGTTTTTGGTTTTACTAGTTTATGTATATACGATCAGTATATGTATAATAGTATATGATCATTAATCAGTACACGGTTAATGTACTTCTCGAGTAGTAACTTATAGTTATTCTGTTATTCAACGAGTGTTGACTACATCTATATTTACTATAGTACAGAACTCACTCTATACTTAAATAAGCTGAAATTGTTGTCTTACTATTTCAGGTAGGTGTATAACTCTAATGAGTCGACAAAAATAATAATGAATCAGCTTAAACAAATACCTTATTATAATGATAATATAAGTTTTAAAGTCATTCTTATTAGAACACACTTGTGCCGTTCTCAGTAGTCTATCCATTTGTCAAAAGTTTGCTGACGTTTCAGACCCACAGCAGGGTCCATCTTCAGAGCGACGGTCACCGCACCATAGTCGCGACTTTATTGAGTGCTTTGCTTATTTCCTACCGGTTTTAGATGCCCGTAATTCCTCGACCAAGTGGTATCATAGCTCGGTCAGCTGTAGTTTTCTTACAACTTGTTCAAGAAAACACGGTTGCAACTAAAGACATAATATAAATATACCGAATACCGGTGGTAGCAAGCGATACACTCGGTATAGTCGCGACATTGGAAGAGTGACTATATCTCTGAAAGTGGACCCTGCAACGAGTTCGAAACGTCAGCTAATATTATGGATTAACCGGAGAATGATCAGACCATGACTCTAAAAAAAAATATTAGGTATTTTAAGTTATAAACAATAAATAATTAAAAATAATTCATTGTTTTATTTTGCAGTTCTTATTTTTGAAATATGAAATGATGCTCGGTAACCTATTTAAAGTGTTTCTATGATTTCGTTACTACTATAAATATATATATATATATATATATTGTATTTTCAATAAAAACACACAACAAAAGTCATGTCATAAAATGTTCACGCATTCGACTTCACTTTGTAAATTTTGGTCCACCCTGTATATTACGAATTTTAAATATTGTTTAATTTTTGTTTATTGTTATTTCATTCTACAACTAAATGATACATAATAATAATAATAATAATACATAATATAACTTAAACTATGATACAACGTCTGATTTTTTGTGTTATAATCTAAAACTGTACAAATTTCCTACGTTTTTTATGAGTAAACAAGATAAATAAACAATCAAATGTTTTTTTTTATGTCAGGTTATGTATTTCGGTCAATCGAATCGGTTATACCGTTTTATATGATTTAATATAACAAAAATACAATTATAAAGGTCTGTTTATTACGACGTGTAGTACAATATAATGTTGTATTATATGTCAAATTTGGTAAGTTAATAATATTTCCTGACAGCGCAGCGTTGGGGTCTACCGGAGAAAAGAAACTGCCGAGTCATGATAGTTTTGACAAATGATTTCAACGGTTTCTCAACGGCAACATAATAATATTAAGGGTGAAGACAATGAGTTTATTAATAATACATACTTATATTTAATTGGACATTAATCTTGTCGTACGCCAAATAATACATGCGCGTACCTATTAGTTTCTAGTAATGAAAAATAAAATATCGTATTCTATTTGACACGGTAAAAAAAAAAAATACATAAAATATCATCATTAATATAGTATTATAAATTATAATATTTTAAAATTATATTGCACGTTTCCATTCTCAATCGCATTAAATTATTTTACCGTTTTTTTCAAGATCACAGTTTCGATGGCAACCACACATATCAGCCGTGTAATTTTAATACAGTACAATATATTATACTACGGTAACATATAATTTAATACTATTAATCTTCTATGTACACTGAGTTGGATTATTAACTACCTATTAAATATTTACAAATGATAACACGATGTTCGCTAAACTGTGACTAGATGGGAACTCGAATATTCTTGTTTTTACACATTAGGTATTATGACTATTTGTCGTTGACCCGCAGAAACTGTATAATTAGGTTTAAAAATCTTTACATTGAACCAATTTTATATAATAATATGCAACGTGACGTTGGTAAACAATGAAACCACGAAGTTTAATTTATAAGTTAATTTACGGGCGTAATAATATTGAAATCCAAATAATTATAAATCGAATATGAAAAATGACGTTTAAATATGTAATCAGTAAATGAATGATTGTATGCTTTCAACATTTGTACTTTTAAAAGAGTAAACATGTTTTACAGGTGAGCTACATGTTTTATACCTATTGAGATTATAATATTTTTAAAAATTAGTTAGAATTCACAGGCAACTAGGTCCTTTTAACTAAGAGAGCTTAAGCTTTAACAATTTTACTGTTAGTATTATTAGTAATTTTTAAACTCTTAAACCTTATAGAAACCGAGTAAAAATATTATGATTTAACCGCAAATAAATTAAAAAAAGGAGAAGGCTTAAATAAATACCGATGAAGCCGATTCTCAGTTATAACTATGTTTAATTTTTTATAAATATTAAAGATTATTTTTTTTAGTTAAATAGAAGTTAATGGTTTTTAAAAACTACTGTATCCATTGTGTGAATATTAGGTACATTTAAAAAATATAGTGCTTAATTATGGTTTTAAGGAACGTATACCAAGTTTAAATAAAGGTTAACTCCAAAAAATATATTTTTTTTAATTTATAAAATTACAACGGTGTTTATGGTTCTATAACTGAAAGTTTCTTACTCGAGGATTTATGCGGAATAAAACTATTTTTGGTTTTGTTTGAAGGAACATAATCATGCAAATTTCTTAAAAAAATGTAAAATATAATTTTACTAGTTGTAAGACTATACTGGATCCTTTTTTCGGCAGCAAGAATATATAAATTAAAGTACATGATACAATAATAGCGGAGTACTAAACTCATTTAACATCGAGAAAATAAAATAATATGATCGAACTAGTCACTGATCTAATCTTCATTCCATTTGAAGGATGATCATTAAAACCGTTACTTTATGATAATATTTATTATTATGCATTTCAATGAGCACATGTTTAGGAAGGGGTCAACATGAAGTCGCTGCTAGACAGTCAATGCTGAGCGGCGAACTTCATGCGTTTCTGTTTTTGCCTCTGGTTACAGAACCACACCCTGACAACGTTCTTCTTCAGGTCTAACTTTTCAGCAATAGCGGCTATTTTTTCACCGGACGGCCTCGGTTGTACTGCAAAGTACGCCTCCAAAGACCGTTTCTCGGGCGCTGCTATCGACGTGCGCTTTCTCTTCTTCTCGCCGGCCGGCAACACGCTGGGCGCGTCAGGGTCCCGTCGCTTGTTTTTCGCTTGCGCCTCCGCTTCCTCCAGCCACGCTTGGAGGATGGGTTTCAAGGCAATCATGTTGTTGTGCGACAACGTGAGCGATTCGAACCGGCATATGGTGCTCTGCGACAGAGCGCCCACGCCGGGCAGTTTGAGGTTGGCAAGCGCTTTGCCCACGTCGGCTTGCGTTACGCCCAATTTGATTCGTCTCTGCTTGAAACGCTCGGCGAACGCTTCCAACTCTCGCGGGTCTGTATCCGTGTCGGGGTGCTGTAGCCCAGCTCCGCCGCTGGCGCCGATCATGCCGACCGCCGCCGCCGCCGCGGCCGCTGCGGCTGCGTGGTGATGGTGATGGTGATGGTGGTGATGTGGATGGCCGTTCGGGCCGGTACCCGAATGAGGGTGATGGTGGTGATGGCCGGTCATCATGCCCGCGCCGTACACGCTAGGGTGTAGAGGGCCGTGGCCGGACCCGTCGGACATTGGAGTGAGTGTGGTCATTGTCGACGACGAAATAGGTTCTAGTAGATCGAGACCGTCCATTCCTGGATGCATCTGAAAATAATAATGGCAAAGCTACGTTACAAACTTTTATTCTAAGAATAACTCCAAAGTTAATGGTATATCACAATATATGAGGAGGAATCATGAGGTTTTTCAAATTCTTAGAAATTCTCTTTTAACAGATTTTTTGTCTTTGTACAAAAAACGCTTAGGTCCATTACAAGTTACAACTTAAGTGTTATACAATAAAATTACACATACAATTAGAGTGACGGAATAAAAGAGAGACTATCGGTACTACAAGCTCTATAAGGGCCAACTATTGCTCATATGGCGTTTATAAGACCGATAGTATCAAGTTACCGTTTTTTATTCAGGTACTTTTTAATTTTTTTAAACCAATGCTTTGAACGCGAATTCAGTACATCATACATTCAATACATCAGTACTTATAAGTAGAGCTTTTCTGGGCTATAAAAAGAAGACCTTCTTCCGCGTCGGGAATAACGGATGATTTTTTTAACGTCCTACACTAGTTTACTCTAAAAATAATTGAAATTTTGTAGTGTTAAAATAATTACCCGGTATTTAACGATATTTTATTCTATTAGGAATGGAAATACAATAAAATAATATTTAAAAACCCTTAACCATAAAAAATGATACACTCTACGCAGAGAGTATATAACTTTTTATGGTTAAGGGTTATTAAATATTATTTTATTATATATAACTATAAGTTGCTTAAGTTTTTTTCTAGATGGAGATACACAGCTTACTTTTATGTATACACGTTGTTACATTATTGAAATTTCTAATTGCGTCATCTCTTAATTCTATGTTTGTACTGTTCCGATATTTTATAAATGGAATTTTTAGGTGTTACACACGTACCTATTATTAATGCACTCGAGTCTACCTAGTCTCAAACTGTATGATTTTTGCTCATAATGCGAGCTTTGTTTTAAAACAATTAATACAGGCGATTAAATAACATAACTCGAGTTTTAATAAGTATTTATAGATAAATGTCCAATAATAATGAAGAAAAATTGGCAATGCCGTTGTAAATACACGCTATGATATAATATGATAATATAATATTGTAACCGATAATGATTCTATGCACACAACGCTTATCTAAGAGTTTAAGTAAATTTACTAGATTTATTAATGATTTTTTTGTCGCGCCTGGAATTTTTTCACGACATCCCCTAGTTAACTGTTTGTAACGTATCGGTTTTAATTGCACCAGGGGAGAGTTAAAAATAATATCGAGCCATATCCACTATTTTTTCACAGAAAAAAAGAGCTTTGTTTTTTGGCGGGTTTTATTGTGCGCTTTAAGATGGTACTCTATTTGGATGGGTCATATATGTACATAGCGGGGATTTGTATGCGTTTAAAAATAAAAAATAGGATTGTCAAAAAGCGCTTCAAAAAGAATATATATATAGTCTATAGGTATATTACGTGATCGGACTATTGAATATAAAAAAAAAAAAAGATGCGCGAAACGTCGACGACGTATGTAAGATACCAGGTGACTTCTTCCCCGAATGTGCTGGCGTTTCTTTTTTACAATATTCATATATGTAAAAAAAAAAAAAAACGCAAGCATATATATATAAAAGGACGCGGTAAGAATCCCGGAGAGACAAACAGGGTTTTACATATGTGCGAGCGTGTGACAGGCGAACCGTGGAGTCGCGTAAATTCATAGGGGGAAAATTGTCACTTGCCACGACGGTCGTCGTCGAGTAGTTGTAGTAGGTAGGTAGGCAGGCATACACACACACACACACATAGACACTACAACGACACTGCGTAGATGTGTGTGGGGTCGTGTATACGTTGTTTGGGGACGTCGAGGTCGAGAACTATATTATAAGCGCCGGGGCGGAGAGGTTGTGTGTTGGTTGTGGCGGTACGAATGGGGTGGGTTTTGCGTCGCCGTCGAAAAGGATGAAACGGCAAACGCAATCGAATGAATAATTGATTCGGATTGTTATTATACACACACACACAGAGGCGCGCACGCGGATATACTTGGCGGGCAGCCCTTGTCATCGTCGCCGTTTACCCCTTTCTCGATTGGTTACACTGAAGTGTGTGTACACATAGTGTACTGTATACACACACACACATGTACTTATACTGTTGTGTTCTAGCGCGTTTCGGTAATGAGGTAATCGGGTACGCACGCTCTCGCCCGACTGTGTTAGTCACAGTGTCCCCGCGCGACGTATATTTCATCATTAACTCTCATCTCTCCTCTGCTATACCCTCTTCGCGCTGGATATACACTCACACGCCGCCAGCACTATATATATATATAGACAGAAATACATTTACTACTATACTGCTGCTGCTACTACATAGGCGACCGCGCGGTATCGTGGGCAATTCCGTTGGGATCGCACGCGTGTGTTTTTCCGAGGGGGTTGAACAAAAAAAAATTACATACGGTGAAAGTTAATGGATTGACAACTTTGACGAAAAGACTAATACACGCCGGACAGATCGGATATCGTAAAAAAACAAACGGTACCTACCCGGTGTGTTTTATTTATATGGCACATGTACCTAATGTGAATGTATACCTTGATACAACTTGATCTGCGTATATTAGTATGAAATTTTCTTAAACTGATCACTACGTTTGGCGTCATTTGGTCACTGTCCATCCCAAAAAAAAAAAAGGTGTAAATATTTCAAAATCATATGACGAAGAATAACTTTTGATCGAGCGCTACCCGCAACTTGAGCGACACTCTTATAAAATTGATCAGGTCCGCGCGAATGCAACTTATTTAACTTACCCCTAATTGTATAACCAATGGGTTTTATAATAACATTATTTTCCTTATATTATTTTATACTCCCCTATAATTTTTTGAAGCGATCGTTTCAGTTTAGGTTCAACGGCAGTGTGAAGGAGTAAAACTGAGTTGAATAATAATTAGTACTTGTAGTGTAGAAAAAATAAAGGAAATTCATAATTATTACGGCTTTTTGACAGCTTTTAACTTTATATCGGTCATTAATATATATTTGGTGAGCATCAAATAGACAATTAAACATCCAATTACATAATGGATAACAAAATATAAGTCAATGAAATATTTATATTTATGTGCCAACTATAGGCTCTATTTTTTTTTTTTTAATGCCGAAATCAAATTCTGCGCTTGAAACAAAACTAGTCACTCATAAATTTTAAATAAGTAATTTTTACTTATGGCGTATAATTTATAATATAAAAAACGGGAACTGGGAAGTCCCTTTTTTAGATAAAAAATTGTACAAATGTTACGCCCCAGTTAAACATCAATGGTCGACTAGCCGTTCTCTTACGCACATATATGAATAATAATCCTAGAATCCTAATTTATTCTCACCACTTAAAATATTTCTTTTTGTTATCTTTATCATTTTAGATTTATGCTAAATAATGTACAAATCTGTATATTTCGTACAGAAGTTTTGGCAGAAAGGTTGATAGTAAAATTTGTATTTGTTATAATTACTTGATGGCCTCGGTGATTTGCTTGGCCCCCTGAGTGGCCACCCATCCCATGATGGTGGTGATATGGTGACATGACATCATGTTTGAGCTGAGTTAATGGACCTGGCGAACCTGTTGATCCTGGCCCTAGTGAACCGTTGCCTTGGCCTCCGCCGTTCCCATTACCAGGCCCAGGTGATTGATGATTATGGTGATGGTGATGTTTGCCCATATCTACCGCAGCCAAAACTTCTGCTCGACTGAGTAGGCCATCATTCAGACCACCGAATATATCACCCTGTGAAAACGAAACCATTAAGCATACCTTTATTATTTTTGCTTCATCGGTTGACCAATATGTGTATGTATTATAATTGCATTTAGATTTCGAGGATTTTAACTTGAGTTTAAAATTAAAAAATATCATCATCATCATGAAAAATATAATATACCAAATAGTATTTCAATTATTATTTTGAAAATTTGGTAAGTGATATTTGTGTGAAACAAAACAAATCATCCGATATACCGGCCAGTCTAAAACGTAGGTATATAGCGTGTACTGTATAAGAAACAGGAAGGACGGTGGCGAAGCATCTACGAATTACAACTAAACAATGTCTACTCGCTTAGAATATGGACAAATTATAATTTTTTACAAATTTCAATGCAAAATACATATTTTGTGATTCTTACATTGGCGTGGTTGTGGTGACCGGCATGAAAGGCCAATCCATCCAGTAAAGTGTAAAACAATTTTACAGCATAAAAAAAAAGATACATAAGGTACATTTCATTTTGCCTGGCGTGGTATGCGGGTGGTAATTGGTAAAGGAGGGGGTTAACGCTGCGCTATGAGACATGTCTCGCTGCTAATATTTTTGTTTTCTCTGACGGCTGACTGGTCCCTTTTGGTCCCCCTATTACGGTAAGTAATCGCAAGTAGTTAGCAAGTAATCGTTTTAATCTATTATCGACGTCGCGTCTTTGATCGCCGCGAACAGGTCAGCGCGGTTATTTTATTGTTATTTTACTGCAAATTGTATTATTCTGTATTGGGGAATATAACGATGTAGTTATCCAAATACATTTTTTTTTATTGTCAAAAATGTATTTACAATCTATACAAATGAAGTAAACGTGATGAAAAGGGTAATATGTCAGTAAAAAAGGCTTTAATGGGAATACACTTAGCAGTACCACCCAACTAGGAAAATAATAATTGTTTTTTTATGTATAAATTATTGTAAAAGCTCTATTCTCTTGGTCATTTTCTTTTCGGTCTTCTGGGTGCATTACCAGGAAGTGAGGCCGATGATAGTTGCTTTATTAGGGGATTAGAATGAGAGCTTAGATTAGAATGGACATTTGAGTAGCGGTACTTAGCTAATTGGTTGAGTGTAAGTAATGTTATGGTTTTGTGTACATTTTTATTAGTGATATACCAAATGGCAGAGATTATAGTAGTGACAACTAGATCGTCTGGAACGCCTGAAGGTTTTAGTTGAATTATTGTATCCCATAAGGTTAGACTTGACAGATTATGGATTTGTATAAGATTAGTTTATTGAGTCTTTAGATTGATGAAGTGGTCTAAATAGATGAAGTCGAGGTTAATTTGCTTAACGTTTAAGTTTTAGATGAGGGCCCCAAGTGAGTCTTTTGTCAAAAGTAAGGTTGAGGCACTTAATTGTATTTGATGTAGGAAGAATTTGATTATTAAGCATGTCTAGTGTGGATTCGAGGTTGTGTAGAGTAAAAGTTACTTGTGTGGATTTTGAATCGTTAATTTTAATTTTATCCAAACGATTTGTTTGTTTATTTAATTGTTATTAATGTCATCTGTTACAACACAACGATTTGACTACAAGTTAATCATGTTTAAGTGGTTTTGTTTCATTAGCCAAATTCATTTAAACTTGTTTGTTTTTAATTTTCTTTGTTTATATAGTTTTTAATATATATTCTTTTATTTTAAGTATTTAATCATTTATTTTTATACAATATTATTTTACATTTATAGATATTATAGATAAAAAAAGAGGCGTAGCCTTCCCGACAAGGTGCGTGTCGCCAATTTGTTTTCCAACGTCTCCCCGACACTCACGCCTCGCCACTGACTAAGGATAACACTTTGTATCCCTAAACCAATTAGTTAGCATTTTAATATATTAGATAATATTTAAAACATTATCATTTTTTGTTTACTCTACTTAGTATCGAATAAACGTACAGGCTGTAGAAATGCGTTTATTGTTAAAAAAAAAACATTATATTGTAGTAATTTAAAATTATTTTGACGAAATAGGAACTCAAATAATAAAAACACTTTTAACGCGTGGAATTGCAAAAAAAAAAAACTGTCAAGAACTTTATATACTTAAATATTAATAAAAACTCTCTCTTTCATTTTAAACGTAACTGTTTTCTCACTAACCGTAAAAGAAATTTCTGTGTACAGTAGCGCAAAGATTATCATTTTGTAAACGAGAAAATATCTTAGTACCTACTTATGACGCCCAAGATGAGACATTCGAAGACAATTTTTTTAAAGGGTATTAAGAAGTGCTGAACGCCTTTAAAAATAGGGTCGTTAATTATTTATGAGGTAAACCATTACTCTAAGACTTTTTAATACGAATATAAAAAACACAACAGACGAAGGAAAACAAAAAATGAAAACTAGAATGAAAACTAATTTTACATTTTATATTAAAAACGGAGTTCTACTATTATTTTTTAAAGAAGTATTATTTATTATGAACAATCGAGTAAAATATTTTAAAATTATCGTCTATCAGTTTTTTTTACATTTAAAACAGTTTTTTTTTTATGACTGTACTAGTAAACAAACTAAATATAATTATATCTAAGTAATTGATGTTTAATTTATGTATAAATTAGGCAAATAATTTTTTTCTTAATATTAGTTATGGTGGTGGCTAATTCATTTACAATAATTCAACATTTTTAAATTTTATACGATTATAAATTATACATATTTTTTATTACTAAAAATATTAATATTAATATTTAAAAGTTATTGGTTAAGTATGTAACACTCGTATTGTTTAAAGGAGTTTATACAAGGTATATCACGGCCGATTACAAATATAAATTATACAAAACGCTTAGATCATTTGTCGAAAACGTATACACTAAGCAATAATTGTTTTAGTGGCACTCACTTCGTATTTTTCTCAATATATTAATCAATTATAATAGCCGCACTGTTAGTATTTAACACTATAAAACTAGACGGGTGTTTGCTTATGTCAATGCCGCGCCGTAATATTTATTATGATGCGGTCATTATTAATTAGATCACTTTGATGACCGTAGACGACCTTCCTTATCATCGATCGTTTTGCAAAAGGATAGCCTTCTATATACGTTGGATAAGTATGGGAAATTTAGGATGTCGACTATTTTAAATTTCATTATTATAGCCCTGTACAAATGCGTGATCGACAGCCCTTCGTACGTGCTAGGGTTAAATAATTAAATAATTATCAAACGAATTACTGAATACTTAATAAATGTGTAGTAGCTACTACTATTTATTTCATTAATAATTAGTATAATGTACACGAGTATAACGACAATATTAGATTTTATTTCTCACAAAGAGTATGAAACAATGTTTATGTAATTATATTATGATGTTTTATGTGGAATGTGGTTTGTAAAATCAATGAATAAAAACCACAGTTATACCAATGTGTACATGACACACATGATTAAAATTGAATTGTAATAGCTTGTATAGTTTATGTTATTACTTATGGCGGTTTTGTTTTAAAGCTCAATTTAGTATTTTACAAAACCTCTATAAAAAAGCTAATAAAAAAGTTCCCACTTAAATGCCCCATTACTACCGACCCTTTTGTTTTATACTCTACTATAAAATTACCACATTTTTAAAGAAATATTTGTACTTACATAATAGTATTTTTGCAAACATTTATTTTGATCATAATAGGGTTACATTAACTATTATAGTTATCGAATGTATACGGTTAACCCCTTAAATGAAAAATAACTGTTTCGAAGAGTTTCTTTTCCTCCTCTCTACACTATTACGTCCACCATAAGTTAGTTCGGCTTTCTACCGATAAAATATTTGTTTTTAAATGCTTAAATCTATTTATATTTATTATTAGTAAACAAAAAATAAAAAAACTTGTCCATATATAATTTGGAAAAAAAAGTACACATTTTTTATTTATGTATACAGTATAAAAAATCGATTCGAAAAATGAATAGATACCCTTTTTAAAAGAATACTGTTGTTATGACTTCGCAGGCCATTTGCCATCGATTTCTAAGAACATATCGAGGTTACAGTATAAAGAGTGAATTAAGGGAGTGGGAAAAATTTATAAAATATTTATGATGTACTCACTCGTTTCTCCTCCCCAAAAGGGTCATAAATATATATTTGTCATTTTATTGCAGAAAATTATAAAAAACAAAATAATTGTTTCTTTGTTAAACGTATAGTTAAATATTATAATATGTACAACCTATAATTTCGTTTGAAAAAAAACAAAAACTTTTTGTGATTGAAATTAAATGTATGAATAATTAACGTTTTTTTTAACTGTAAATTGTTTCTAGTTCTTTATTTATTGTTTTTTTTTAATAATATGGCAGAAAAGTTGTCTTATTTATATTTTGTTATACAAATAATAATAAGTGTAGGTATATACAAATGAACACTTGTTGAATAGTAAAAATGAACTGTAGAACCAATGGCGTATTAAGGAATTTATTATTTAGGGGATGTTATAGATTCTTTTTCCAATAGTTAGACGTGTTTATTTATTTTTTACTATACCAAAAAACATCATCTTTGAGATTAAATGTATCAAACAATTTGATCACTCTATTATCTATCTATCTATATGAGGTGGAATCCTTTTTACCCAAAGGCACGTTAAAATACAATATCTCCGACAATTTTAAAATATAACCTAATGGCTAATATCATGTAGACAGTAAAACATATTTTCTGGATCTTATCCATTGTTATTCACATGCAAAAATGTATAAGCTGTTCAACTAGATATCTAAAAATATGGTTAAGAGACGAGAAATCTCTTTATATCTTTCGTAAGTACGTAATGAGATAGAATGTATGTTAAGTATATTGAAGAGATTTAAAAATCCTTACTCATAGTATGTAAAATAATATATATTTATGAATATAGTATAGGTATCATATTATGTGGTATACTTATGTGCGATGAGACTATAGCGTGAATGAGAACAAAATATATTGTACGGCTATTATATATTTTATATTTTATAATAGTTTAGCCATCGCCTCATCCGGTGTCTTAGGTAGATATCTTATAGGTATATTATAATATGTACATTAAGTTGCTCAAAACGTTTTCATCTCTAGCAGTGTTACAACAAGAACGAAATAATTCTACTTCGCGTATCCGTTAGGTGGTTTGCCGGCATGGACGGGGGCGGTAGGTAGACTACCAGAAGGGCACAGATTCATTTATTATTTACCGGAGCCGCGAACGGGACGGTTTTAAGGCCGCTTGTGTGTTTTCTACCCCCGTCGTTCAGCCCATCGAATAAAGTCCTTTTAATTCCTATTCCCGAAGCCACTTTGTGAAGACAAAAACCGAAAAACCCGCATTTCGCTGATGATTTTTAGTTTATAGCCATCGAGTTGTTACCGTCCGCTCTCGTCTTTACTCCCGGGAGTCTTGTTCCCGCTCGAGGGAGTTTTTTTTTTAATGTGTCGACTAAATTGTCTCTTCCCCATACCGAGAATGAAAGATTATTATTAAAAAAAAAAAAAAGCGAGAGAGAAAAAAAATCGAATCCCCAGAAAGTGAGATGGAAGTTTATCTTTTACATTTATGTTTCCAGATCCAATACGTCCATATTGTAATATTGCCTGCGTGACAAAACAGCAATACGAGAAAACGAGCAAACATATTTTTAATAACGAATAGAAATTCGATTTGACGTATTTAAATTACTCGGGTTCTTCAAAATCCAAAAAATAAACATTTACGGCCGTTCGCTGAGTATTTTAAAGATTGTAGCGAATTTATTCGACAATAATAAAATAATTTGATTACAAGTGAACAACACCCAATATTCAAGTCAATCCGTTTAATATTATTTGCTAATGTAATATAGCAAGGGGGTCCTGCCCCGTTGTATAAAGCTCTCATGCTTGTTTTAAATCTATATACATTCAAACAATTTAAAAAATTTGTATTGAAAAAACATACATTATAATAATTTTCCATTATGTAAGTTGTGAGGGTGTGAAGTTGGAACGTTTTCGATTAACTAATAATCATTGTTCAAGCACATGAAGTCGACAACAAAATATTAAACTCCTAATGCCATGACAGTATTATATTTAGAATGAATAATTAAACGTACATTGTGTCGTGGAGACCAGGTGTTGCACATGAATGAGGACGCATCCTCTAGGATCCGGCTCTGAAAATACGAAAACTGTGGTTAGATAAGGAATAATACAAAATATTCCAAAGTAGAAAATTTCATTTGAAATCACACTTTTTTTTTATACACAAAATGCCATACCTAATGCTCATACGCTGTTTGGGTCACACGTGGGTTGGAAACATATTATGCGAAACACCTAACCGTGATTTTTAGTTAGCTTTAGTTTCGACACGAGTCTAAAAAGGCATTGGTTTTAAAAACTACATAGTTTTTTTTAAATTTAATATATGCTATCAAAAATAATATCAAGATATTCTTCTACCGACTCTTCTAAACCTTTTGTGCGATTATTTTAATACAATACTAGCATAAATATTACCCGGCTCTGGCAGGGTTAGTAGTTTGTCACATATCTAAATACTGGTTTTTTATCATGATTTTTTTCATAAAATTATTATTTAATAGTCAATACTCATTAGTTGATTGTAAGTTCGTGTGTTACGTTCGATTAGGGGGGCGGGGGAAGGTAGAGGTGTCTGATCATTATACCGAACCCCGACTTAATGTTCTTCTCTTCTTAGTTTAAAAAGCTTTGAACTATAAAGCAGGAGTTGTTAAAAATGATTTATCTGTCTATTGGGTTTTCAGCCAGATAGTATATTCTATGGGTAGCGGTTCTGCAATGTACACTACTTTGAAGTTTAAAGTACAATTCTTTAAAATTCTTAATTTCTGGTAGTTCCGTATGTAGGATATCGCCAGCAGCTATATTGGTTAATCTTGGTTTTTCCAACTTTTCAGGGGTGCCGGGCGAGACCCTTTTTGGTCAAATGCGACAATGTCCGATTCCAGGGAATCTACCTTTATCTCGTTTGACCAAAAACGGCCATGCTCCTTTTTAGGAGAAAAGTCCCTAACTCTCTTGTAAAAGTCTTGCCCTGATGACCATGCTTTTTGCTTTATCCGTAACGCTAGAAAATGTTTGTTTATAATATGTTTGTTCTTTTCAAGTTTCAATGAGACAAATTATATTTTAAGTAAATTTAAAAAATGTGTTTTTATCAAAATATGGTTTTTTTTAAGAAAACATTATTAAAATATAGATTGCCTTATATTTATTTATGAAATATCCATGTATAATAATAATATAATAAAATGTTAAATTATTGTTTGTGTCATTTGCCATTTTGTCCAAAACTACTACGTTAATAGTAATATTAAAATGTATATACATTTTTAATAGGTAACTTTTAGAAGAAAAAAAACTGGGGGGATGATAAATCACCTTGATTACCCCCTGTAAGTGAAACTTCGAAATTAATTACACGGTCTCACGCTCTCTGTAAACACGAATCCATTGATTTATAATATTATTCAACTCAATTTGGCATTTTTTGAGATTGGCCATGATGGTTCTTAGGCGACGATATACATTGCATTTAACAGACTACAAAATGTAGGTAACAGTCTTTCAAAGAACCGCAACCCAAACTGCGTAGGTTTGTCTTTTCAGAGTTTTAAATGTACGAGATGATATGGATCCAAACGAAATGACAAGTATATATTATTATAATATAGTATAATCGCTAATTTTCAACTTGAAATCTAGTTTTATGGCAAGTGAAGTTTTATCACCGGCGTTCGGCGGGGTAAAGCCTAATTGCGCATAAATCAAGTATGGTGGTGTGCTACAGACAAGGGTCGGTGGCGGTTGGATTTGCGTCACGTGTCATTTTTCCATTTGGAACGTCCGAACTACTAAAGCTGTGATGTGATAATCACTCGCACGTGTGTTTCATTACCCGAGCAATACGTATATGTAGACCCGATTGTTTGGCCCTCGTTACAAAATTCAGTTAGCGCTTGACAGACGGTCGTACGCGCAATTATTATTACCACAACCCACCGACACACATACTATAATGTGTAATATACATATGACACAGTAATGGTTTTTTGTTATTCCCACTGAAAAATTATTCGTTTGTGTGTGCGGTAAAAAAAAAACAATTAGAATTATAAAAAGAGACCGGAATTGTGCAATCAATTAAAATCCCGTCAATCAAAAGACGTCTACTACACTGCAGACCACACACCTGAATATAACAACAATAATTGTTTTTGATGGACCCACACGATATTATGGATTTATGACTTAGTACAATCGATTGTTTCTACAATCGCATGCGGTTTTAAATATGTAATAAAACATGTGCTGATATTTAGTTATCGGTCACGAGTAAACCACATTGTTTTTTGCGAAATATCCGTTATTAAAAAGTATAGTTGATACACATTATTCGATAATATTTTAATTGTATTATATTCGTTTTATAATCTTAACAACCCGCCACCAGAGTTGTGCAAATTCATATTCGAATAATTATTTCACAATTTATTGAATAAAATGTTATTTGAATTATTTTTCCACGATTTATTAGAGTAAAATATTGTCTTCCTATGTATACTGGTTTTATATATTTTCTTTGTGTAGTATGATTTATACGAATTATAACACATTTGACTAAGATGTAAATAGCGGGTTTTTCATTACAGCACGCACAGTGTAGTAAATCATTTGCTTAGTTATTATTTATCGAATATTGTACTTACTAAATAAGCGGTATTTATTCGATTTGATAAGTAATATTATGCAACAAACTTTTATAGCTATATATCGCAGCCAGTAAGTAATAAAAAAAGCTCATAACAAAACTATTGAAATACTTTAACTGCTTTCTTAAAAAAAAACTTCAAAACAATAATAAAACGAAGACCACTGTGTTTGCTATCATAATGCGAAAAGTAAATACATTGACTAAATATACATACGATGTATATTTTTACATATGACTAATTCTATTTTTATTCTATACCGGTAATACTCCGCTCGTACAACGTTGGTAGGTATACATTTATATGTATATATATATATAGGTTGGGAAGTGTCAATACTCAATACTAATCCGGGAACTATTCTACTCAAGCGGGTGTGTTGGTAGGTAGTAAAACCGATCAATAATAAATAAGTGACCACCGGACAAACCGACAACTAGGAGCCATAAAATATTAGCTCTCGTTGCAAACATTTATTTTCATTTTGTAGATGATTTTATTTTTATATCATTACACATGAATGTATAAGGGATGAATGATATATGATATACATATAATGATACATGAATTTTGAAAAATCAAATCGCAAACTCTCGGGAGAAGTGACAAAAGTAAAAATTATTATAAAACCGTTTACCTATTTTTGTACCTTAATCTTTTTAGTTTTACCTATATTAAAAATTTAAACTTTTTTTGAATATATATCTTTATGTATACTCAAAAAGTAATACCTGATAATAATTATTAAAAATGCTTGTTTTACAAAACAATGGACTTAAATATTTGTATTTAGGCTTAAAAATGACGAATGCATGTTTTCTTGTAAGAGTAGTTTCTTGAATTAAATCTTAAAGACTTGAACTATAAGTCATTTTGTATTGAGTTTCACAGATTTTTCTATTGAGTTATTAAAAAAACCAATGCACGTTTTTAGCATAGCAGCGCGTACTGACAACTGACTGTATAAACTAAAATAAATTCTGTTGCCTCAGATTAAATAGCAAATTTAAATTGTTTCGTTTTACTTTTTTTAATATCTGTTAAGTATCTATGATACTTACAAGAAGTACCTCACTTTGGAGTTATCACATTGGTTAGAGATTTAACAATTATATAATATGTACTTAATAGTAATATGTACAAACATAATTATTTTTGTAACGTAACATTTTATAAACATAAAATCAATGTAGATATTATTATTACATTACATTATGCCATGATTTATGTCAATGATTACGTCATTATAATATATATATATATAGATATCTTTGCTGATTATAGCTTGGTGTGTAAAAAATAATCATAAAATTATCCTACTTGTAAAAAAAAATTATTTTTTTACCTTTATTATGAGTTATTGTGAACATTATATAGTCCAATATTATAGTCCTTGTATTTTAGAATATCTTCATTTCTTGGCATAGGTAACACCTGCCTAATAACTAATACTTGTGTTAATAATGTTGTCTTGTTATTTATTATTTATTGCACAGTGCACATCGCGCGTTTTTAGAATCTTGTTTGTAAGGAATATAATATGTACGGATTTATTGTTATCTTTATTATTGAATAACATAATGAAATATATATTATATAAATGTATAAAAATCCTACCACCCTCTTCTTCATATTTCCCGCGAATCCTTAGTAAGTTTCCGCTTAATGCAGACACATACCACTGTTCAAGACCTTTTAAGATTTAGGTAAAATACAGAGTAAAATATATATTTAATATTATCCAATTGTATTGCAAATTCCCCTTTGTTTTATACTGCGATTAAATTAACCAAACTTATCCTTAAATAAAACGACCTGAGCCTTTTATAAAAAAAATTGTTTTGTTGTTCTAAGCGTTTACATGCAAATTAAGCAAATTAAACGAATGAGGTGTTATGTTTTGTAAATAAAGAGTAATCCCGGCTATGCTCGGCGGGGTGTGCAGAAGATGAGAGAGCCAGCAGATGACGTGAATCCAGTAGCTTTAAAGCAAAAAATTTAACGGCTGCGATTAATAAATTATTTAAAATGCCTCCGCTATAGCGACATCAATCACCCTTAAAAAGAGCAGTAACTCCCCTCTGCCGCCGGATAATTTGACGTTATTGGCCTTAGCGAGTGGGTTTTTTTTACATTTGTACATAATATTTATTTTAGCATCGTTCATTTTATAGAGAGTCTCTTTTTCTCTCTCTCTCTGACGCCGTCTGTCATCCTTCGCGAGCAACGCCTGTCACGGGTCGGATTCATATTGTTTTATACTTCCGAAATAATCAGCGAGAAAATGAATACAAGGTTATTTACACTGAGTTACCAGATGAAATATGATTAACTCGGCCGTTGACATTGATTGATAAATGCCATTTTATTTTCCAAGATTCCAATGAATAAAAATGTTTATTTAAAAAGTGACTTTG